ATGGCATGGGGTTAAATTTATTTGTTCCAGGGCTTTGTCGAAATTCACACGCCGAAAATCATATCCGCAGCCAGCGAAGGCGGTGCCAATGTCTTCACAGTATCGTATTTCAAGAGTTCGGCTTATCTCGCACAATCTCCTCAGCTTTACAAGCAAATGGCCATCGCTGCTGATTTCGACAAGGTGTTCACTGTTGGTGCAGGTGATCACTTACTGTCAATTAAAACTCAATTGCTTTATTCATTGAATTTAATTTTATTCTAAATGAATTGTTTCCCCTCAGTTTTTAGGGCTGAAGATTCAAATACTCACAGACACTTGACAGAATTCGTGGGACTTGATTTAGAGATGGCATTTAAGTACCACTACCACGAGGTTGTCGATACTATTGGTCAGATGTTCACTGAATTGTTCAGGGGACTTGAGAATAATTATGCTGACGAGATAGCAGCTGTACGTCAGCAATACAGAGTGGAGCCATTTAAATTTCTCGATCCTCCACTGAAGCTGGAGTTCCCACAGGCGATTAAATTACTCGCTGAGGCTGGAGTTACTCTCGGTGAAGAGGACGATCTCTCGACACCAGATGAAAAATTACTTGGAAAACTCGTTAAAGCTAAATACGACACTGATTTTTATATTCTGGATAAATATCCTCTCGCTGTGAGGCCATTCTATACGATGCCTGATCCTACAAATCCTGTGAGATATTTAATCCCATTCTCCTAAATTTTTTCTAGTTCTCCGAATAATTATCAGATATTTTAACCCAATTTTTATTTAATTAATTGCAGAAAGCGTCAAATTCGTACGACATGTTCATGAGAGGAGAGGAAATTATTTCTGGAGCTCAACGTATTCATGATCCTGAGTTTCTGACTGAGAGGGCTAAACATCATGGAATTGGTGAGTTTTATCTTTCTGAAGGAATCAAAATAATTATTGACTACAAATTTTTTGTTTTAGATATCGAGAAAATAAAGGCGTACATCGACGCCTTCAGATATGGCTGTCCACCCCACGCAGGTGGTGGAATTGGAATGGAACGAGTGGTGATGCTTTATCTGGGCCTCGATAACATCAGGAAAGTATCCATGTTCCCACGTGATCCAAAACGCATAACTCCTTAATTCCCCAACAATACGATCTATTGTACGTGTTTTTCTATGAATAACATGAAATATTGCCAAGAATGTTATAAAGAAATTTTAATAAAGAATTTCTACCAAATTTTTGTTTATCCGTCTGTTTTATTTTGCATTTATACTCAATGCACATTTTTTCAAAGCTACTTATAAAAAGAAATATTAAAAAAGTGTTTCTTATGATTTTAAATTTTAAACGAATTGAGGAATAGATAATCACTAGTTATGGAATAATCTATTGACCATTGACTTGATAAAAAAAATTCCTTAATCTCACAATTAGCGTTCTCCAATCTTCTTCATCCCCAGAAATTACAATTCCGTAATCATGTGGGAAGTGAGAGCCTGGACTCTCTTGGCATTGCAGCTTTTGCATAGAACATGATCATCAAGTGGATAGCACCCAGAGCCTTCGGCATCAGACGAGAGAACGAGACCGCAATCCTCACACTTGTAGCA